CGTACGGGGCTTGTCGACAAAACACAAAACAGCGGATGGTGGGGATGACGTTGATATGGCTCCGCCGGACGAAGACCCAAAACAACCAAAAAACCCCGAGTCAAATCCTCCGGCAGTCATAGACGCTGCAGCATGATATATTCCTTTCCTTGTCACCGAGAACCTACTCTCTCCTAAAATGCCGACACGACAGGAGACGGAAACGGTGTTGCTTGGCTTAAGGAAGAAGGCGCTAATGGAAGAGTATTTTGGCGAAGAGGCGACTTGATTCTCCGGGACTTAATTCTTCAAACCTGCGTTAATGCGTCAACATCCGTAACTCGGGAGCTGATGATATCTTCCTTGGTCTTGTATGAGGGGAATGAGGAATTAGTGAGGCGGTGTTACGCTGTGTACTTGTTCTACTGTGGATATAATCTAGGTGTGTGGATACCTTGAGCAGCCGCAAAGAAAATTCCTGATGGAAGACACGTTTTTTCGATAGTAGTAACTTCCTCAACCCATACTCGTTCGGCAAGTGTCGTCTAAGCTCAACGCTCACCATGTGCAACTATCACTCTGCCTGATGTGCCATTGTCAACCTGTCGGCTCAGTCAAACAATAAAGGCAGCCTTACTGGATAACTCGACATCGGAACGGACGTGATCGTCAACATCCACGTCGTACTTTCCTCCTACGAATGATTTGGGGATGTTAATTATCTGAGAGGTGACTGCTCGTAGCGACTTTGCTCTTGATAAGCATGAAGGTCTTCATAAGATACACTCTAAATGCAACGCCACACATTTATATACTTTGTCATTCCACAATCCACAGGTTGACGTGATTCGGACTGGTGAGATGAATGAACACAGTTAAAGGGGCAATGAACAGTATACCTCTCATCTCGAGGTACACCGTCCCTGTTCCAGGCAGCCAATGTTTTTGTGTGTTGCGATGCTTGACAGCTTTTACTTCTGCCTTACTGGATTACTCTCTAGTTGCGTCATTTTCTCTTCTGATTTGATGGCGTTCACAATTTCTCGCATCAGCTGTCGAAAATCCTTCAATGGTTCAACCAGAAGCTCGCTTGTTTGGGGTGCTAGCTGTATCTGATCTCTCGAGCCTTACTTTATTGGCAGGGATTATTTGTGCATCGGATCACCCTTGGCACACAGGTGGCTACTAGCCTCGAATGTCTCCCAACTCGCAACTATGAATCGTAAATTGGACTGAAATGATCTCATCATTTTTTCTTTTGACTCAGGGAACTTTCCTCCGCGATCGTGTCCCATGCGTAATCGCTCAGCCAGCACTCTCATCATAGCAGCAGATATCAACTCAAGGATAAAACATCTCAGCCACGTTTCGCCTGGTAATCGTTAAGACCTTCAAACAAGTTGACAACGAATTCAGCCTGATACGGGCGTCTGCATGTTGAATGCATGTTTGAGTAAGTCCGCGAATACGGTGGAAGATCAGTTCCCGATAAAAAGAGCTGCCAGTGAGGGCTTCATGTATGATTCACATCAACTTCAAGTCATCATCACTGAGATTCTGACATGACTCCAGCGCCATTGAGACTGACAAACGAGCTGCATAATTTCCTTAACTATGCAGGAGATACAATTTTTCTTTATCACTATTTCTTTTGCCAAGAGTGAAAGGTACTGATTGTATGGACTGAACACAAACAGTTACGTATCATGAGGTGGCTGAGGAGCGGACCCGTACTACACGCAGAGCTAATCGTACGGAGTCCGCGCGGAAGGGATCATCAGAGCTTTTCCCGAGGACAACAGGGACATATCTGACATAACCTCGACATCGATTTGACGCCCGTGGAATCCCTAAACGTTCGTTTCCGGATGCGAAAACTCTCCTGGTACCACGGACCATTCAGGACGGTTTCCAAACGCCTGGTAGCAAAAATATCGAAATTCCATGTTCGTCAAGGAACGGTGCTATATGCAACATTCACACTCCGTCTATAGACATCTGAAACTACAATTTAGCTCACGTCAATTCAAAATGAAAACGGATCTTGCTTCTGAAAAATCTTGCTCACCTTTCAGACGATTGTATAAACGTATCACACGCCATTGCTATCGACAAAAAGTGGAGCTGAACCGTCAACTATGTCGCATCTCAAACATGGGAGAAAAATTCGCTTAAAAAGGTACTATTTGAAGTGTAAGTCCCGGAATGAATGATTCGGCAAGTAGCAGAAACGCAGACGGAGACGAAGTCACAGATTGATTAAGGTTGACTATCCATCCACGCTTTACAGCACAAAGCTTGAGCACTACAGTATAGCGTACAATAATAAGGTTGATCACTCAAGTCTGGTCAGATCAATTTTCGAGCTCCAAAGGAAATTGAATTTTGCGCGGTAAATTCATAGTTGCGATCAACCGCCACCGACAGTCGAACGCTAATCCCCAACGAGATTCTTCTAGCGGGTCCCGTCGATCGATACTTCCGTGAGTGCAGGTACACGATTTATACGATATGTCCTAGATATCGTCATGTCCAAACTCAGATTGACCATAGTCGAAGTGGCCCGATGCCCTCGCAGTATGATTTCTCTTTCCGGCTCACAGAAGTTCACTAGAAGAGACAAAGGAACAAGAGAGGTAATTCCAGTGGAGTCCTCATTACCTTTGGTGCACACTATAGATACATATCTATGGTGGATCGCAAGAGTCACAGGTTAATAGCGTTCAAGTAAGGTTCCGTCCAATCCTTTTCTATTAGAACACAAATGACGTTTCTGGTGCAGTGGACCGGCGGCAACTTTCTTAAGCAACAAGAATCCGTAAGAACTCCGAGCCAAATATAGATGTTTCGATGGTTTTTTTAAAATGTGCCAGTTACCCTGCCAGATTCAAGTCCGTATCAATTTTATAACATGAAGTAGGTACCCACGCCACGCGTTGTTCTCCAGCAATATACGCTTGAATTACACTGATCCCATCAGGCACGACCTATCAGGCACGACGATTGAACCGCGATCTGACCATTTACGAATGACTGGTTCGTCAGCACAGCTTTCCGCTTGGTGTTTTGACTCTCAACTATAAAAGCTTCATATCATGAAGCGACGATAAACTAACCATCCTCCGTTGACTAGATTCTTCCTCCCTGTATTTTCCTTCATCATGGGCCGCAGTGACGAAACGATACTATTAATTGCTCATCGAAACTCTCCAAAATACGTTATTAGGTTTCCTCTTGACCTGGCACCCTCTCACGTTCGTCCGTATCTTGAACTTATAAGGCTGGAGAAGGTTTGGCATGAATGATAATAGTGAGCAATGTGACTCACCCATCCCAGCCCACAGGAACTGTCCTTATGTTCTGGCCGTTTGGTGCGCTATCCGAAAGCTCCCAAATACTGTTCTGCTCATAGCCAAGCCTTGTAGCATGGGGTTTGACAATGGCCGCGTTCGCCACCGGTCTTCCACTACAGCTTTATGGGAGCCATCTCATCGAATGTTTTATCAGTGCTTTTCTCCTGCGCAGCTCAGCTTGTACTGTCAACGACATCTTTGATCGAGAGATAGATGCTGGTGTTGGTTAGTCTATCTACGAGCTGCAATCAACAAATCTTATCTAATGATCACCAGAGCGTACAAGGGGTCGTCCGCTGGCCAGCGGTCGTATTTCAGTTTTCGCGGCCACAGTTTATCTCTTCGTACAATATATTATGGGCATATCTTTCTTCTACGTGACTGTTAATGATCATGCGTTCGTGAACTTCTAGAAGTCCTTTCCCTTTTTGCTTATTCTTTTTCCAGTCTGTGGGTTGGCCTATTTCAGCTACTTCCGCTGTAGGTATCCTCTCTGATGATCGTCAATCCTATGTCAATTTCGCACTCCATGCTAATGTTCGTGCACAGATTTGCAATCTATCCGCTCTTGAAGAGGTTCACCCACTGGCCGCAAGCTTGGCTCGGATTTGCTATGAATTTTGGTTTCGTCACCGCATGGGTTTCCCTTACTGGACGGCTCGACGTCAAGCTTATTTCTATCGCGATGACCGGGTGTTGGTTGTAAGTTTGTTTTTAGCTATACTGAATATGAATTCATTCTTGTTTCCACATAGCTGGACTATGCTTTATGGTATATATTGCTTGTCGCTACTGGCTTCCATCGAATTTGACTTCATGCAGACACAATTTATGCTTGCCAAGATATTCAAGATGACATCAAGATGGGCGTTCGATCTACAGCCATCCTGTTTGGATCCTGGATCCGACCCTTACTTGTTCTGTGCGGAGTCGGCTTTGTCACTATGCTCGGTCTTGCTGGATATATTAATGGACAAGGCCCGTATTACTTTGTTTTGTCAGTCGGTGGTACTACTGCTCACCTGGTGTGGCAATACAAGCTTGTTGATCTTGATGTACCCGCTAGTTGTTGGCGTAAGTGTTCCTATAGTTCGGTGACATCTTGAACTAACAATGGTGCAGAAAACTTTAAAAATAATGGTCATCTGGGATGGATTATATGGTGCGGCCTGATGGTTGATTATCTGTCGTCAATTGGTTTCTTCCAATATGTCAGGTCATGAATTGCATTTCAGATTTGCTCTTCAGATGTGATATTACACGATAGAAATAATCTTCCGAAGTAGGACAACAGTGACCATCATTCCTTTGTAGATTTATTACCATTGCCATACTTTACCTATCAAGTAATCTTAGTGTAACATGACAACTTTCTCACAAATCGGTTACCGTTACCATGAAAGTCGGAATTCTGGATACAATTCCTTCGCAATTTCCTGCAAGGTCTTATACAACAGCTGTCTCGAAAATTGAAATCAAGATTTCTTTCCATCCTCGCTCTGTCTGTTTCAGATGTCGATATGAATGATAACAGAATAACCCGTATGCTTCTGAGTAGTACAACCACTCGTGTAAGTGATACTTTTATTGGCCTGAACCTGGGATTATTCGCGCACCTGGTGCTCTCAACCCCGCTCAATGTACTTTCTATAAGTCACCTTAGTTCAAGGGCACTTGGCACAGTTGGTAGCGCGCACGCTTCGCATTGGTAAATAGTTTGATTGCGTGAGGTCGTGGGTTCAATTCCCACAGTGTCCATCACATGTTTTCTTTTTTTGTTGGAAAATCTTTGCGAAACTGTATATTTTAGTCTCTTTTCTCAGTCTTTGGCCTTAATGCCACATCAGCGTTGTATTACTTGTCTAGCTATGCTGACAGATCCTAGTGTTCAGAATGGCCGACAAGTTATGTTTCTCCGTCAGATTCTTACAATATATATATGTAAGGGGACAAGAAGTTCTGACGACGCATTCTCACGACGCATCTTATGACATGTTCGGGAGTAAGACGATAATTGAAGATATTCTATGTGTGCAACAATCTCCCGGTCACCGTCCTATCGCACCTCTTCGTTAGCACGTAGAAACCGATAGAAATTAGGTCAAAAGGATGCATGAACGAAACGAGGAGTTATTTTTACGTGAAGCTGCCAACTATCAAATGAAAAGAAGGTTAGAAATCACTTTACTGAACGTGAATGGAAATGACTCACGAGTCAAAAAAACATGCCCCTTCGCGCATTATAATCCCGAAATCAGGCCCTGAGGATGATAAATGAGGTCGTGGGTACATCGCGCTGGCTTTGGCACTTCTGACTGGTCCTATTTAAGGAAATCGAGAGGGGTTTTTAGGAAGATTGCAGGCTTAAAAGGCGTGAAACAAGTACACTCGGGAGGTTGAACATGAAGACTAATGATATATACGGATACCACCATATAGTGTTTTGTGGATCGCTCCACGGGGATGCTAAAACCACTCCAAGCTCTTCGATCATATTTTTCCCGAGATACCTGGAAAAGACATCGAGGGACGTGGATCTGAATCTGCATCTATAGCACCAGTATGAGGTGTGCAGAGAGTGAGATCAGATTCTATCCAAAGCAAATCCTAAGAGCCCCTATCTACGGTATGTGATACTATCGTAAACACTGACATGCTGCGCCACATGACCTGCCAGCGATCAGTTCGGCAGGAAAAGGGTGACAGGCTTCCTACTTTTCCACAGAATCCACTTTTGTACAGCTTCCACTTTTGTTTCGCTTCGCAGTGGTGGGTCAGTTTGCCGTAAACGGTCGGAATCATCAATTTATTCAAGGTGTGAGTGAGGTCGTTCACGGGGGTGGGGAGAAGTTGGACCTGATGATTGAAGATCAAAATAACGGTTAAGAACCGATCATCACGGTCAATGAAGGTGATACCATGTCGAACAAAGTCCGTAGACACGGCAGATTGGAATCGGTTGATTGGTGCTTTTCTTCCTTGGAGAACTGCGGCTAATGGTTACGAGATCTGATGTCCAAATGTGAAGAGCGCCGGGTGGTAAGCCTGGAGTATGTAAGCGGAGGATGAAGTCAAAAGCTCTTGGATCCGTCCGAAACATAATCTGTAGCATTTGTATTTCATGAGCAAGTGTACAGAGGTATACCTCGTTCCAGACGAAGTATTCAGGCCAAATATCTTTGGTTTCATGGCACCAGTTCCCACACCGAGATCCCCGCACGAGTTTGCAAGAAGAGTACAGCGCGGAAGCCGCTGGCATTTTCACTGGATAACCGCAAAGTAAGCAGGTCATCGATCGATTGGCAAAGATGGTGAAGGTCATCCATGAGTACAGAGTATGCAAGAGGAAACGTGAGGTGCTCTTTCTAGTAAGAAGGCTGTGAGGACATCGAGCGGAAGCAAATAGATCAAATTAACATCATAACCTCTGCTGGGACGCTGGGTGTCTAAGGTGGAAACAGCGAGACAGTAGAGGCTGAATGCCGAATGTTGGTTGAGTTTAGTTGAAGTTTAGTTTCGGGTATTGAGCTGGAAAGTCAGTGATCTCATCAATTTTCCAACATCTGCCAAGTCCGAAGTAAGTCCTTGTATATAAAAGTACAGCAGGTCGAGGTAGATCGTATCAAGATCAAGAAACCATGAATGGAGGCAATATCAGAAATTCAGGACGCAGGTATCATGGCCGTATCTCTCGCTCAGCTCTGAATGGTCGCCGTACCACGACACAACATTTGTAGCATGATTGCCCGATGCAGCCACGCCGTATGCGAGCGTTCAAAATGTTCAGTCATGGAAAAGTAGAAGTAAAGCGAAGAGTAGCATTTGTTGAAATAGATTGGAACTCAGCTTGTATCAGAAGAATATCACGATCAAATCATTCTCGTAAGAAAAGTCAATCCAGCTCTATACTCGAGCTCAAGAAAACGGGGTATATACCTCGATACCTCATCTACCTCCCCGCCAAGGATATCTACGTCCGCGTCCGCGTCCTCGTCCTCGTAATCCTCGCTTTTACCACCTCTTTTACCACCTCTTTCACTTCCACCCCCGCCTGGACCTCATCGTCTTCCTGCGCCAACACATCCTTCTTCCCCCTTCCCTTCCTCGAGACCCTCACCTTTACATCCTCTTCGACGCCGTTTTCGTTCTCCTTATTAACCTCCTGTGCTGTTACAGGCGGCGCACTAGCGGGAGTCTTCCTCGTCCTCGCACCAACACCGAACGTCCGAGACTTCGCAGTTGTAGTTGTCGCGTTGGTGGTGATGGTAGTGGTGGTGGAAGCATTCGAACTTTCTCCACTCACACTCCCACCATCATCATCCTCCTTCTTAATCGTTCCCGTCCTCTTCCGTCCCTTCGCCGTACCCTTCCTCTCATCCTCCCCATCGTTCTCCATCATTCTCGTAGTCTTTGATGTAGGTTTCGACGATGAAACAACCGACCCAGCGCGGAGCGTACGTCCTCTCTTCACAGGCTCCTCATTATCTACAACCGGCGCGGGAGCTGATGCAGGCGTCCTCCTTACCCCGCGCCTCGACGCCTCCGTCTCCTTAACCGCATCTGTCGCAGCAGTCGTAACGCCCAGTCTCCTTCCCCTCTTCGGCGCCTCCTTATCCTCAGGCTCGACCTTTGGTTTCCTTCCACGTCTCGTCGGCGCAGATTCTTCTTGAGCCGTGTTAGAAATTGACGTGGAAGGAGCGGGAGTAGTGGATGGAGTCATAGTCGTAATTGCCTTTCGCCCACGCTTCATAGGGGCTTCCTGGGGCTGCGATGTCTCTTCATCAGTACCAGCCGTAACAACAGCTTTCCTACCCCGCGCCTTTACCTCTTCACCCGATTCCTTAATCCCAGATCCAGGAGCAGGAGAGACTCTCGTCCGCCTACTTGGCGCAGGTGCCCTAAGGGCCGACTTTGATCTTGAATACAATTTCGAAGGCGGTTTCTCCTGTTTCTATGTCAGATTGCAAAAGGTAAGGGGGAGAACAAACGTACAGCTCGAGCAGATTCCTCTGGCTCTATAATGGCAGTTTCTGGCGTTAATTCAATCTTAGGTTCCCCGGCCTCCATGATCACACCATCCTTATCTTTATCTTCCGGCACACGAACGGGCGCAGGCGATTTAGCCTTCGACCTTGAGCGCGGGTTCTATATCGAAAAGTTCTTACAGAGACATTCTTACATCCAAGGGAACAAAAACTGTTACGTTACCTTAAGCGCGGGTTCTGTAGACATATCCTCCGGTTCTTGAACATGAAGGGGAGCAGGTGATTTCGCTTTCGACTTTGAACGCGGTTTCTACATCAAAACTCTCAGCTAAACTTCCTTGCGTGGAAAGAAAGACTATACCTCCTGCGTACCCTCCCCTTCATGAACACGAATGGAAGCAGGCGATCTCGTTCTCGACCTCAAACCTGGCTTCTAGGGGGACATCAAAATTCTCAGTGAACCATTCTCACATCTAGGAAAGCCAACTCTACCTCACGCGTGGGCTCCGTAGATACAACCTCGGACTCGTTCCGAACGACAGGTGTAGGCGACCCCAAACGTAGTTTCTATTTATCAAATAAGTAAGTTCATCTCTCATATCTGAAAGACCCGTACCTCATGCACGAGATTCTTGTCCTTAGAGACTTCATTAGCAGCCAAATCTTCCCGAACAGGCGTAGACGTCGGCGCCTGCGCTCCTTCGTTCTCTTTCTCTTCTAGGCTCAGTACCTATGTCCAAAAACCCGTTCAGGAAATATATACCTCACCAAAACAATGCTCCCACTTACTTCCTCATCGTTATTCACCTCCACCTCTTTCTGCACATCATCCTCTCTCGGCTCCATCCTCAAAAGCGAAAAAACCTCACCCTTCTTCACAGGACTCCTTCCCCGCCCAGGCGTAAACGGAGGACGTATAGGCGTTGCCAGCACCTGTGGTAGGGGATGTTGAGGCACCTCACTCCGCCTTTTCTTCATCCCCTCTACCGTCTCCTTCATCCTCTCCAATAACCTCCGCGTATCCTCCTCTTCATCTTCTTTTTCAAATGTAGAGAGTGTGGGCAGTGTAGGTCGTGTCGAAGCTTTGGTTGGGGATACCTGCTTGGCATGAATACTTGTACTAGATGAGGGAGGTTTCATAGGTGAGAACCCGGGTACAAATCCAGGTCCACTTGGCTCGCGCAAGGCGCTGCGGCGGCGTTCTTGGATTGCCTATGTAGGGTGTGTTAGTATCCAAGTTGCATTCAAAGGGAAAATAAAAGCTGGGCATGAAACGCGAGATTCAAGGAACGGATAACAGTAAACATGAGAAAAAACACAGAAAGAAACGCACCTTCCGCTCCTCCTCCCCAACCAGAACTTTCCTCGCACTCGCACTCACCCCCGGCCTCACAGGCGACGCCGACACACCCCTCGTCAAACCTCCACGTCCAGCAACAGGCTCCATAGGCGGCAAAACAATATCCCTAACTCTCCACACCTGAGGCTCTACCAAGACTCTCCGCGCCTCTCCGCCCCCAAGCGAAAGCCTCCCTTGCCCTACCCCTCCTCCCATCCGGTCTTGTTCGTTTGCACGCTGAATCGTCGGATCAGACACTGATGTCCCGATTCGTGGTTGGGGCGTCATGAATGCTCCTAAGGCGCGGTTGTGGGGGGGACGAAGGGGCGTACGGGGTGCTAAGAGGGGAGCGGGGTGTTCATTTTCATTCTCCTCTTCTGCGTCGTCGTCGTCGTCCGCGTTCGTCGGTGAGGTAGAGGGGGAAGGGGGAGGTA